ATCCCCACATACCTACCTTCACACTTTGAACATAGTAGAAATTAATGAATATTTGTTGAGTTTAATTGGACTAGAAGAATTACTCAGCTAAAAAGCATATGGCACTCCATTGACCAGGCAGTTCAAATACCATTACATTGAAAACATCTGTAAACGAAATATTTTTTAAGTTCTAATAATGTCTCACCTTTTAAAACAATAATTAATTCCAGAAAATTTCAAAGTTAGAAATATGTCAGAGTAGCTCATTTCCTCTCCAATAATTTGATGAGTCCCTTGTTTATGTTATGGTGACCAGCAGATATAATAACCTTCAGTAGATATCAATAGACAGACTTCATCTTTCATTAATTAATGATATGATTGCCAGTACTTTGAATTTCCTTTTTGCCACTCAATGGATATTCTACAGATGCTGGAGGGAGAGGAAACTCTTAAGTATTCAGTTCACTTGCTTTTTTCCTTAGTAACTGTCACTCACATCTCCCTTGCTGTCAGAAATCTTCAATTGATATAGTACAGATTCCTTACCAAAAGCCTCATACTATGAGTCACACTTTTGAGGATTGCCTGAAACCAAGGAATCAGGTGTTATGTAAAACAGTATAATCAAAATTACATAAATACATTTAATGTGTTTGTTCAAATTTTAAACAGATATTCGTCTTATACTGAGATAATAATTGCTGTTCGGGTTTCTTGTAGACATTTCTATGACAATCCCATCCAGTTTGTTGGGAGATCTGCTTTTCAACATTTACCTGAACTAAGAACACTGTAAGTTTCTATGTCTCCTATGTACACCTTTCCCCTACAAGGTTGCTGTGAAAAATCAAACAAATATTGTAGCTTGAAGTGCTTTGAAAGTAGCAATAAATATTACCCCTGTGTAGAATCTTCTGCCAGTAATACTCATATATTCCACCTTCTAGGACTCTGAATGGGGCCTCCCAAATAACTGAATTTCCTGATTTAACTGGAACTGCAAACCTGGAGAGTTTGTAAGTACTGAGTAGACTCTTGACTTTGCCCAGAACATACACTGCCATTAGAGCTTGATCAGTCTTAGCATCAGTGAGTCAAAATATGTCACTGTGTGATGCCTGAATGAAATAATTATGTCTGGTTTGTGTTTTAACAGGACTTTAACTGGAGCACAGATCTCCTCTCTTCCTCAAACCGTCTGCAATCAGTTACCTAATCTCCAAGTGCTGTGCGTATCAGTAAGGCAATAATGTTGTATAAACAGGCAACTTCCATTTTGGGGTGAAAAGGTAGACGTGATTTCAATAATGATTTAAAAGAGGAGAAAGTTCTTTCCTTGCTGGTTTGCAGGAGGTCAGGCCTCCTTTGCCCTCTTTGGTCTAAGGCTCTCTGACATGATCCTAGTGGCAATGGACCCTTTGTTTTCTAAGTCCCAAACAAGCTCCCACTAGACTTTCAGTTGGCACATGTCTTTCTGAAAAGATATGAACAGGCCAAAATCACTATTTCCCCCTCTAAAGGCTTTGCAGAGCAGAACAAAACAACATAATGGATCAATCACCCAATATGGATGCCAAAATCAAAAATTGAGATATCAGACCCACACAATCCTTGATAAAGGTGAACAAACATTCTTTCAGTATAGTTGTCGGTGCCATGTTCTAATGTTTCCTGTAATGGTTAAACAGCTTGCATATGTTATTTCTATTGACTTGGGACTTTTTCCTCTGCCTTTCCCATGTGTTATTAAAAAAAGTAGTTTATATGAAATCAAGGAGACTTGTTTTGACCTTTCATTTTCAGCCTTCTCACTCAACTCCCACGCAACACAATTATCCTCTCAAGCATTGTTAGGACTTAATAAAAGGATTCTTAGTCTCTTGGCATGGCTCTGCACTCACATAGAAGGCACCTGTGGCAGCTGAGCGCCTGTAATTCCACCATAAGCTTTACTTAGCAGCACTCAGAATGTCAAGTAGATAAACGGGAATGGCTGCCACTGTGATTCTGCCTTTTCCCATTCCCAGCCTGCATGTCACTTCAGACTCCAGTTGCTCAATGATATGTGGGTGCAGTGACACCACATGGTAACCTTGGAGTCAGTGATTCACATCTGAAGGAGGGGAATATAGAGCAAATCTCCTCTTCACCCCACCCCACCCCATGAGGTGTAGCTACAGATAAGAAAACAGAATTCGAGAAGTTAATTTGTTGAAGTACAATGCGAGAAGGAAGCAGAGTATGAATTCAAATACAATCAGTTTGATTGAATAACTGGGAGAAAGTGTGTGTATATCAGATGGCAGAAATTTGGGGGGCCATGTTAGAATTCTGCCTACCACACACACTACAGGCATAATCATCCCCATTTCTCCAGAAAACTGGCTCAGTTATATGATTAGGATTTTACATACTGGAACTAGTAAGGAGGCAGTGTTTAAACTGCATCTGTCTCTGCTATGTCACACAGTGAGTGGTAACCACTCAGGTCTAGAACTGCATAAATGGAGGCTGACTGGCAAAATGACTAAAAGCAAAGGCTCCGGAGCCAACTTTTCTGGTTTAAACACGGGCTCCCTATACACCAGCATGGGATCTTGAGCATGTTATTATTCCTCCTGGAGCTCAGTTTCCCAGTCAATAAAAGGGAGATTAGCCACTTCCTTGAGAGGATTCTCATCAGGACTGATTAAATGACTGCATGTCAAACAGTTACAACAGCAGCTGGGACACTGTAACTCTCAGTCAGTGTTAACTTTTATCATCTTTCTCACTTCCTTGGAACCATTATTCTTTCCTCAAGTTGGAACATGAAAAGCCGGGAGGAATATACATAACATTCATAGTATATCTTGCCATTTTCAAACACTGTCACCTATAATATTCATTTGTTCTTTTCAATGATCCTGCAAAGCAGCATCTTCTCATTTAGGAGAACTGAGAAAGATAGCAATGCTTTGGCCAGTGTATCAACCAAGTAGAATTAGCTGAAGTTGAGACTAGAACCCAGGAGCCTCACCTCTAGTACAAGGTACTTTATGTTCTCCTGGAGGTATAGGTCTGAGAGCTCTCCCCATTTGGCTGAATTATCCACTGAGTACTTGTTACATGAGGAAATTTCACTGTAGAAGACTAGTTTTGCATCACGTGCATGGGAATTACTTAGCCCATCATACAGGCTATATGTAACTTTCCCCACTTACTAGCTTGTCATCTTAGGCAAGTCATTTCATATTATATGGGTAGAATTATAGTGTTTCCCTCATAAAGCAGCCACAGGGATTAAACCAGATAATTCAAGTAAAGCTATAAACATGGTGCCATTATGTAAGAAGTGGTTGGCAATAGGCAAAAGATTCCTTATTTAATAAATGGTACTGAGAAAACTGACTAGCCATATGCAGAAAATTGAAACTGGATCACTTCCTTATACCTTACACAAAAATTAACTCAAGATGGATTAAGGCTTAAATGTAAAACCAAAGCTATAAAATCCCTAGAAGAAAATCTAGTCAATACCATTCAGGACATAGGCATGAGCAAAGACTTTATGATGAAATCACCAAAAGCAATTGCAAAAAAGGAAAAATTGACAAATGGGATTTAATTAAACTGAAGAGCTTCTGCACAGCAAATGAAATTATCATCAGAGCAAATAGACAATTTGCAGAATGGGAGAAAACTTTTGCAATCTTTCTATCTGACAAGAGGCTAATATCCAGAATACAAGGAACTTAAGCAAATTTGCAAGATAAAAACAAACAAACCCATTAAGAAATGGGCAAAGGATATGAACAGACACTTCTCGAAAAAAAGGACATACATGCAGCCAACAAACATACAAAAAATAGTTCAACATCACTGATCATTAAAGAAACACAAATCAAAACCACAATGAGATACCATCTCACACCAGTCAGAATGGCGATTATTAAAAAGTCAAGAAACAACCAATGCTGGCGAAGTTTCGGAGAAATAGGAATGCTTATACAATGTTGGTGGGAATGTAAATTATTTCCACCATTGTGGAAGACAATGTGGCAATTCCTTGAATATTTAAAACCAGAAATACCATTTGACCCAGCAATCTCATAACTGGGCATATACCCAAAGGAATATAAATATTCTATTCTAAAAATGTATACACAGGTATGTTCATTGTAGCACTCTTCACAATAGCAAAGACATGGAATCAACCCAAATGCCCATCAATGATAGAATGGATAAAGAAAATGTGGCACATATGCACCATGGAATACAATGCAGCCATAAAAAGGAATGAGATCATGTCCTTTGCAGGAATATAGATGAAGCTGGAAGCCATTATTCACAGCAAATTAATGCAAGAACAGAAAACCAAACACTGCATGTTCTCACTTGTAATACACTTAACGTGGGAACAATGAAAACACATGGACACAGGGAGGGGAACCACACTTACTGGGTCCTGCCAGGGGAGAGTGGGAGGGGGAAAGCATTAAGGAAAAAGAGCTAAAGCATTCTGGGCTTAATACCTAGGTGATGGATTGATAGGTGGAGCAAACCACCATGGCACACCTTTACCTATGTAACAAACCTGTACGTCCTGCACAGGTACCACAGAACTTAAAATAAAATAATATAATTTTTTTTAAAGTGCTTGGTCAATGTTAGCCATGAAAATAGCTAAGTAGAAGGTTTTATGTTCCTCTATTAAGAGGTAAATAATGAAGAATTAGCCCCTTTGCAGCCTGCAGAGATGAGTAAACCAATTTTCAGCTTTGATAATATGTGCGCCCATTTTACTACATTCACTACTTTTTAAAAATACATACCACAGTATTAATCAGGTATATTTGTGCATAGGTGTGAGGTTTTAGAGGTATTGGGTGGGGGGAGAAGTCTTTCAAACCTTTAAAAAGTTACAAATTTGGGTTTAAAAGCAGGTTTATTTGTACTACTTATGTGGAATAAATAAACTTTATTCCTTTATAAATCCCATTTATTCAATAAATGTAGGATAAAGTGATCAATTATAAGAATGATTTAAAGTCTCTTAGAAAACAGTACAATTTTTTTCATTGCATAGTGGTAATCTGGTTTCAAGTATTAGAATCAGGCATGAAAATGTGTTAGCTGATTAGCTGATAACATTTAAAACATAAAACAAAATTGCTTTTTATATATCTATGTTACATTATCTACCAACTTTCTTTGCTTTTAAGCTTTCTGCAAATTATGATGGCTTGCTTTAGATTAGTTATATTATACTATAAATATGTCCAGATGTTTTTGTTATTCTGTAATTTGTTTAATTTTGGCTGAAAACTTTCTTAGATTCTGTTCCCCTGCCTCCTTCTTGCGGTGATTGATTTCAAAGTTCCTGCTATGTTTTGAATTGTTAGGTTTTTTTTCACGAGTTGATCAGAAAAGAAACAACAATGATTTATCTTAGCTGTAGAGATGTAGCAGCTCTTAGAGACAGAGGCACAATTATTTAATTTGTACTCATTGCAGTAAGATAAAAGCTAGAACATTGTAGAGCACTGCTAACAAAATATAAATGAATTCATTAAGTAAATTATTTAAATCAATTAAAGAAGTATAACAGTTACATTTCAGTAAACATTTAAATCTACTGGTTAATCCAATAATACCTCCTCCATATCAGGCTGTGAAAATGTTCAGAGTCTGCCTTTGGGAGATATAACATCTTGGAGGGAAAAGGAGAGCAAAGCATGTTTCTTTATGATTTATTTGTAACAGATTTTCCCTTTTTGCACCTTCTGTTTTTCAGAGATCTGTCATACAACCTATTAGAAGATTTACCCAGTTTTTCAGTTTGCCAAAAGCTTCAGAAAATGTAAGTCTAGAAGTCTCTAAGTCACCTAGCAAAAATCAAGAATCAAAACTCTCATTTCTCAGGGTCATTTGTTCATCTACCCTGTGGTTCATTGGGGAGACATGTGATCCTTTTCCTTCTTACATGCACAAGGTGTGACTGTGCAGGATGGTTAGAAAGTTGGGAAACATAGATAATATTATTTTTCATGAGCTGTACCATAATATTAGTAAAACATTTATTATATATCTGCTTTTTTTTCCCTTCTAACTTAGGGTACTAGTGAATTGGGTGTGTTTGGGCTTTGAAATTTTTCTTATTTTACAAGTACAACCAAACTTACATATCCAATAAGTGGTGTTATTTTCTGATATATTGGAATTTAGGTTTATTGGTGTTTTTCTTTCACAATAGTCATCTTTAAAGAGGGCCATATTTGTCATATTTAAGGTGCTACAGATGCTACTTATGCATAAAACACTTTAGAATTCCTCTCTTAAAATTGCCACCTCTACAAAACATCAGCCTTGTTTTTTAGTCACACTTTAGTTTTGATCAAAACAATATTAACCATCTTCTATCCCTTCACACTTAGTTTTTCTCTCAATGACTTTTGGTGCTTAAGAGAGAAAAACAAAGCAAATCCATCTGCAAAAGGTAAAGAATTGACGACCCTCCTGAAGACCCTTGAATCCCAGAAAGGCTCAGAAGGCAGCACTAGAAGAAGAGTCCTCCAGTGTTTTGAATGATGATTACATGTTTGGAATGTAGTTATATGTCCTCCCAAGTGAACCAGCTCCTTTGAAAGGCACAATACTTGAGTGTGTAAATGGTAATGTTCTTCTTTAAACAAACAAAAATCAGTCACTTGATAGATACACTTCATGTGTTCCTTTGATTGAGGGCAGGTAGTCCCTCTATAAAAGTCATCTGAAGTCTGTAATCTTTGAAACCAGTAACTTTGAAATCAATCTTTGCCACCCTGTCATTTCAGTGACCTAAGACATAATGAAATCTACGAAATTAAAGTTGACACTTTCCAGCAGTTGCTTAGCCTCCGATCTCTGTGAGTATCACCTCCCAGCACATTCCCCAGCACAGAGCATTTTCTTTCTCTTTGGGGCCTGCCCCTAATATTTTCTTTTCATTGTGTACTATTCTGGTTGGACTTTTGTGCATGTATTTGCTATGAAACAGCAAGTATTTTGCTTCTGGTAATTTCCAGGAATCAATCTAAAAGTAGCAAATTTGCAATTATGCCCTTTACCAGTCAGCAGGCAGAAGGTTATAATGAAGAGGAAGGAGGCTAAGCTGTTGACTAGCCTACTGTGTTTTCTGTCCACAACTGGAATTGACAGGAAATATTTTACATGCGAAGATGGGATGATCACGTTGTTCTATCTGCCTGCTTTTTTCCTGGTTAAGCAAAGGTTTTCACTGTGTGTCTCAAAGTGCTTAATAATCACCTGGAGGGGAGTGAAAAATACACACTCCAGAACTTTATCTGCCTCATGAGTTAGAATCTCTAGAGTGGGGACTGGGAATCTGCATTTTAACAAGTGCACTAAGGTTTGAACACGGCTGTTCTAGGAAACACTTCTGTTGCTCAGGCAACTAAAATTTATAAATACTTGTGTTTAATTCCATTTTATGATTGAAATGTTATATATTAAATTATTTTTAAACTTACCAGCACATTATTTTATGAAACAACAGTTAAAACTTTTCTATATTGAAACTGAATTTCAACATGATTTTGATGAATGGTGATGATAGGTAACATTTAAACTATAGTACATTTGTTAAAAATCTTTCTTTTGCTGACTTCTAAAGTTGTGTTTTGTACTTAAGAGTTATACTTTGGGTAAAATAGTACTATTCCTCAAAAACTTTAACTTTACTTTTAAGAGTCACTTTCTCCCAAAAGTTTACCTTAATAACACCTTGTTCTGAATTTCATTGTATTGCCCCTTCCCTTATTTTTGGTTGAAATCTACTTGTGTTGTGCTTTTGCTTTAAAAAAAATTATAAGTATAAGAGGAAAATAATTTTATTACCTGTCTTATTCACCTGATTTGATTTCTGGCTACTCCAAAAGTCAGTTCTATATTAAAAGGCTGATATCTAAAGATACCAAAAGAATGTGACACAGGCTTTGAAGAATAAATGTCTGAATTCCCTTGAATTCCTCCTTCCCCTGTGACCTCACATTTGGTCACTCACCAAACTGTGCCAACTCCAATTCATCCTCTCCACTCCTCTATTGCAGGCCCATTAATGACACGTTTGGATCATCATCATCCTCCCAACCAGTCCTTCTGGCATCTGTCTACCCATTCATCTTATTCTTTCTTAAATAAAAATTGAATCCTGTTATTTTCCTGCTTTAAAAACTTTCTGATTATTCCCCTGTTGTCTTCAAGATCAAGACCAAACTTCCCTGCACAGCTCTTCAAAATCTGATTCCAACCTCCTGATAGTGTCATCTCTCCCTCACACACTCCCAGGTACCTGACACATGAGCCCCCTCTTTCTCCTATTCCCATTGCCTATGGGCTTCCTCCCCACCCGTGACTTGTCCCCCTGCCATTTCACAAGAACAAGATCTTTTGTCTTTGAGCCCACTTCACTCTGATGCACTTTGCACATTCTCTACGACAGAACTTAATGCTCAGCACTGTCATCAGGTAGACTATGCCATACCTGAAAACAATAAGAACTTTTCCAGGTTTCCATAAATTCAAATTTCAGTAAAATTTCCAGTCCAGGGTCTAGTGCAGTGGCTTTTTCATTATTTACTTAAGAATTTAAACATGTTCTGAGCACTAAATCAGGGACTGTGAAGTCCGTGTGCCTGGGTTTGAATCGCAGCTCCTGAGATTACTCTGTAATTTATTACTCAAGTGACTTACCACATAGTATCTTCATTTCCTCATGAGTAAATTGAAGATAATAATACCTACCTCTTAGGGTTGTGGTGAGGGTTATGAGATTAAAGTCTGTATATTAAAAAAAAAACCCTCATAACTATACCTGGCACATTGTAACTATGCAACCTTATTATTATTATAAAAATAAGTATATAGACCTTGAGTGTTCTAGCAAGAAACAGAAATCATTTAAGATGGTTGAAATGCAGAAATACCATTTGACCCAGGAATCCCATTACTGAACATATACCCCCAAAAATATAAATCATTCTGCCAGGTGCAATGGCTCACACCTATAATCCCAGCACTTTCGGAAGCTGAAGCAGGTGGATCACTTGAGGTCAGGAGTTTGAGACCAATGTGGCAAACATGATGTAATACTGTCTCTGCTAAAAATACAAAAAAATTAGCTGGGCCTGGTGGTGGGCACCAGTAATCCCAGCTACTCAGGAGGCAGAGGCAGGAGAATCACTTGAACCTGGGAGGCAATGGTTGCAGTGAGCCGAGATCATGCCATTGCCCTCCAGCCTAGGCAACAGAGCAAGACTCCATCTCAAATATACAGATATATATATATATCTGTGTGTGTGCACACGCATATATGTATCATTCTGTTATAAAGATACATGCACATGCACATGTATGTTCATTGCACCACTATTCACAATAGCAAAGACATGGCATCAACCCAAATGCCCATCAATAATGGACTGGAGAGTAGAGCTGGAAGCCGTTATTCTCAGCAAACTAACACAGGAACAGAAAACCAAACACTATATGTTCTCACTTGTAAGTAGGAGCTGAACAGTAAGAACACATGGACACAGGGAGTGGGACAGCACACACCAGTGCATATCAGGATGGCAGAGGGAGGGAGAGCATAAGGATAAATAGCTAATGCATGCAGGGTTTAATACCTAGGTGATGGGTTGATAGGTGCAGCAAATCTACCATGGCATGTGTTTACCTATGTAACAAACCAGCATGTCCTGCACATATATCCTGGAACTTAAAATTAAAGTTTTAAAAAAGATGGGTCAAACAAAAAGACACTTACATAGGTGTTGGCAGGGAACAAGCAAAGGATGGGTGTGCAGAAACCAGTAATATCAGGGGCTAGAGTCACAGGGAGGAAATGATGTTTCCAGGACACAGAAAGAGCTTAAGTATGGAGATGTGTTGCAGCAGTTGAGAAGGTCTATAGCTGTCATGAGAGATATGGTTCCAAAACAGGGAAGAGAAGACCATGTGTGCCCTGACCTCCCTTTCCTCCTGGGGCTTCTCCTGAGAATACAACTGAGGCCATTAGGGAGCTTTGGGGATGCAGCCTGCAGGATCAGCCCCAGGCACAGAGCAGGGCAGGAAAGCAGAAAATGACTCCTGTGGGGCTGCTGGGAGGATTCCAGCACATAGACTCATGAATTGAAAAGGAATTACAGGTCTTTTGAACATATAAATTCTCACATATTTACTTAAACCCCAGTCAAATCACTCTAAGCACCATGGCAGGACTTGGCCTACATTCCAGATATTCTGCTCTGTGAAGCTCTCCCAGGGCACCATGATCTACTTGAAGCTGCCAAAAAGACTCTGACAGATGGTATTACTTGCTCACCTCAGTGACACGTATTTCTTGAGCAGCTCAACAGAAGACAGTCTTCTCACTCAATTACCCGAAGCCCAGCCTCCATTTATAGCTTTTCTACCTTCCATACGTTTCCTCCCCTTGTTAACTGCAATTTTCTTCTGTTCTCGGATCAAAGAAAAGACTTCCAGTTTCCTCCAGGAAAGAAGGACAGGTCCCTAAGGAATCTTTAAAATGAGAATGTAAATATTCTGTGAATATCATGTATTAAGGTAACCCTGGAGCCCAATATCATAAACACTTGAGAATAGTTGACTTTGTTTACTTTCAGTTCTCCTAACTCAAATGGCTACATGTTAGTTACCCTTGTTAGTCATTAAAAAAAAAATCTTAAATTTATACTTCCTTTTTTAAAATGTAGTTCTTATTCCTGATAAATTATCTACAGAAGTTTTTGCAAAAGGTTTTATTCCTACTTAATTATCTGCAGTTCATTACGTGTACATGGAAGTGAATTTTATTTCCCCATAAACTGTAGTTTTCTTTATTATCAAATAATTTTATTTCTAACATATGTTGGCCACTATTTTATTCATATTCTGGTTAATAATTTACTTGTCAGTATCCTTCCTGTGAAAGCATCTTTGTATTTCTCTCAAGGCCTAACATACATGAGTGATGTGCCCAAATTTTTTTGAGTTTCATTATATATCCAAGGACATTTTATAATTTAAAGCTTACTTGCTTGTCAGAAGAGACTCAAAAATTTCTGTCCCTTCCCACACTGCTACAAGCACTCATTTTAGAAAGGCCCTAATAAAATTTTACAACCATGTTAAAGTGAACCTTTTAGCAAGAGTAAAAACCAATATATCCACCTAAATGATGTTTCTTTGGTTTTAACAAGCTTGATTTAAAGTTCTCTCATTAGTCATTTCGTACCACTAATATCTTAATCTGAAGTGCATTTCGATAAGTTAATTGTTTCTGATCTGAATGGAAATTAATTTTGGTAGAAGGCTGAATACATATGATAAAACTTCACATGCTCTTTATTCTATGTACTTCTCTAATTTGCCTTTTTTTTTTTTTAATAGGAATTTGGCTTGGAACAAAATTGCTATTATTCACTCCAATGCATTTTTCACTTTGCCATCCCTAATAAAGCTGTGAGTATTCCATAACCTGTTTATGGTACATCTCTTAATAATTTGGGGCCATCTAGTCAATTTTAAAAGTTTGTTTTATTGAAAAGCCAGAAATGCACAGATTACCTACCCTCTGTGTTCTCCATGCCTAAAGTTTGACAGAGCCAGGGAAGAGTTCTCCTGCTCCGTCAGTGCCACGTGGACCCTTAAGTGAATAATTGAAGATCTGGGTGACAACTGGTTCTCGTTATTCAGCTGAAGTTTTTTATTTTTACTGAGTAATCAGGTGGAATGTAATAAGATGTCAATTCAGGTCTGAAGGGCTTCCATTTTATCTTATGCCATTTCAACTGATAAACAATCTTCCTGTCCCTTTTTCCCCTTCCACTTCCCATCTTCTTGCCTTTCCCCATCTTTTACCTAATAAAGAAAGAAGAAATTGGTTAGACAGAAATTAGGAGAAGAAGGGGAGTAAATACACTCCCAAATTTTTTACCACTCACTCCTCATCTAGTCAGCATCATGTTTCTAATTAAATATAGCACCTTCCCCTTGATTTTAGATGTCCCCACCTGACAAAATGAACCTGAATATAGAACAATTTTAATGCAATTAAAACCTTTTCTCCCTTGCAATCCTGACTATGAATAGAAAAGTTATCAAGAGCTAAACCAAAATGATTTCTTTTACCATTAAGAGTGAGGATCCTGCTTAGAAGTTTTTATTGAGTAATTTAATGATCTTTAGGTTGTTGTTTTTTTAACATAAACGTTTTATGCTAACATAGACTAAAAGCCAATTGTTGTTTGATGTTTTGCAGGGACCTATCATCCAACCTCCTGTCGTCTTTTCCTGTAACTGGGTTACATGGTTTAACTCACTTAAAATTAACAGGAAATCGTGCCTTACAGAGCTTGATATCATCTGAAAACTTTCCAGAACTCAAGTGAGTTTGTCATGAAAACTAATAAGATACATTTGTTGTCATGTGAAATAATAGACATATTATATTGGTTTCCTAAATTTATGAAGTCGTGAGACCGTTTTAGATTGCATTTCATGCCCTCAAGTTTCCTAACCCTGAAGCATTGTTAGGACAAGCCCTGAAGTGGGAAAATGTGTCCTCCTGACCATATTTCCTTTCCTTCTCAAAGATGCCTCCCGGAATCACAGAGTTCATAGGAAGAGTTTGAAAACCATTGATCCATGGAATGAATAAAAACTAGGACATGTAATCAAATAACATTATAACATTATTCTATTCTTGTTTACAATTTTTAATTTAGCTTGTGTGTATCTAATAAAATATACTAAATTAATATTTTTTGAGGAAGTAATGCTGCTTAAAACCTGTGATGCTTATTATTGACAAAGAGGTATCTTGAAAAATTATGTATTTTTTAACCCACAGAGTTTTTATATACTTTCAAAATCATGAAAGTAACAAAACTCCAAAAGAGAATTGGGAAAGTATAAGAGAGAACAAAAATCTTTTTTGAAATTTTTATTGTTTTTATTTTTTATGGTTACATAGTTGGTGTATATATTTATGGGGTCCATGAGATGGTTTGATACAGGCATGCAATGTGTAATAAGCATATCATGGAAAATGGGGTATCCAACTCCTCAAGCATTTATGCTTTGAATTACAAACAATCTGATTTCATTGTTTAGTTCAAAATGCCCAATTAAAGTATTATTGACTACAGTCACCCTATTGTGCTACTGAATGGTCGGTGTTACTTATTCTTCCTATTTTTTTGTACCCATTAACCATCCCTCCCTCCCCACAAGTCTACCCTTCCCAGCCTCTGTTAAGCATCCAAGAACAAAAATCTTTAAAATCCCTCCCAAACAGCATTTTTAAGTTACTTCTGTTCCAGTGCATTTTTAATTATTAGACTCAAAATGTGCATAGAAGTATATTTCATATTTTAGTCACTTATTCTGCCATAAGCACTTTTTTCATGTTGCTACAATTTTCCTAGCAGTCATTTTTTAACCTTTTTATTTTGGAAATTTTCCATCATTTGAGCAATAAACGTTGCATCACTCAACTTCAGGAATTATCAACATTTCATAGTGATCATTTTTAATAACTTCACTTTTTTATAAATAGGACTGTAATGAACATCTTTATGCCCATAACTTATATTTTGGATTATTTATTTAGGCTAAAATCCAAAGGTAGAATCATTGGATGAAAGAAGATGAACAAACACTATATTTAGTTATCCATTTCTTTAAGTGTTTTTTGTTTGGGTTTTGTTCATTTAAAGGGTAATAGAAATGCCTTATGCTTACCAGTGCTGTGCATTTGAAGTGTGTGAGAATGCCTACAAGATTTCTAATCAATGGAATAAAGGTGACAACAGAAGTATGGATGACCTTCATAAGAAAGATGCTGGAATGTTTCAGGTTCAAGGTAGGACTTGCTATGCCATGGTGATGAAATTATAACTTAAAGAAGTCATAGAACAGACCAGCCATGGTCTGCAATCCCAACACTTTGGGAGGCCGAGGCAGGTGGATCACTTGAGATCAGGAGTTCGAGACTAGCCTGGCCAACATGGTAAAACCCTATCTCTACTAAAAATACAAAAATTAGCCGGGTGTGGTGGCACATGCCAGTAATTCCAGGTACTTAGGAGCCCGAGGCATGAGAATTGCTTCAACCCAGGAGGCAGGTTGATTCCAAATCAAACCAAGCTGAGATGGCACCACTGCACTCCAGCCTGAGAAAAGAGCAAGACTATCTCGAAAAAAAGAAAAAACAATCATCGAACAAATTATCTGAACTTCAGACAAGTCCCTGTGTAATTACCTCAGCCAATTGTGAATAAATTCCACTTTTTAAAAACTCCCTGAAAAAGAGAAACTCACTCAGGATTCATTCTAAAATTTATCTGTTCTGTAGGTGAATTATTTATATTTATATTCATAATTACATTCCCCCTTAGCATATACAGTCATCACTCAGGGGTGATTACTGTCATGGTGGTTCCATCAACTTTTAAAGGGTCATATTTCTGAAGATGCCTTTTTTATACGTATTACAGAAAATTTTTCTCCAGAAGACAAAATCCATTTTTATTCATATGGCCTGGAAGTAGTGGAAGATATAAACATTTTAGATTCCTTCATATTTCAGCAGAAGGGCTTAAGAATACAACTTTTTGTCCAACTAATTCTATATCATTCCCCCACCTACCCCACCCAGGGGTATCTGTCCGGAAGGTGAAATGAGATAATGTCTGTAAAGCTTAGCTTTTCTTGAAGTAAGACGTTACCTAAACAGACAACAATGCCACTCACACCACACCTGTGGTAATGAGGAGGTGCTTCAGGCACCACCTCCTCCCTTCCCTGCCAACCCTGCGAGTTTGCACAAAGTCTAAACAGACTAAACAGAGGGACTGCTTCTCATCCTTTGGGCCTTAATGGTCTGTTGATTCCAAAGCAAGTATGATTCAGTCTGTTTGCAGATAACCTTACCAGTTTTTCCTGCCTGTGTATCTGTTTGAGGAACTGATGCCTTCGTCCTTGCCTTTTTTGTTTTAGGCCACAGCATGTGTCTTGTTCTTGTTCTTGCTTCAGTTTTTGCTCTTCCTGCCTCACCCACTCTAATTTCTACTACATTTGTTCACTCAAGAAATAAAAACACAAGCAAAAATTTATTAGAGAGCCTACTTTGTGCCAGGCACTGTTCTAGGCCTTGAAAGTACACAATGAACAACAGAAAGATGGTCATTCATGTAGTTTAGTTTCTAGGGCAGTGACTCTCAACCCTGGGCCACATGTTAGAATCTCATAGCAACTTTTAAAAAACATTGATCCCCAAATCCCACATGAGGCCAGTTAAATCTGTATTGTTGGGGAAGTATGTTAGATCACAAAACTCCTCTTTCATGGATAGCTAAACCAAGCACCAAGTAGTTACTTGATTTGTCCTCTGTTATGCAGATTTCCCCAGGGAAGACTGGAACTTGCTGTTCCTGATTCTCCCTCTGGTGTTCAGAGAACACAGCCTAGAACATTTGCACTATAGCTATTACAGTCTTAGAAATTTAGATAAAACAGTTCCTGCTCTGAATGAAGAGGCCCATAGCCTCCTCTAATTTAGCTCTGCAGTGTGGGAACATCATTAGCTGCAGGGAACAAGAGTAGAATATGAGAGTTCAGATGTTACTACACCCGGAGTCTGGGGTCACTCTCCCTCACCCCCAGTTGTACTAGAATAGTATGCCATAGCAGTTTGAGTCGAACATCCAAAGGCAACTTTATAACAGACTTGCAAGAAAGCTAGAGCACAAGCAATTTGTGACAGTTCATGTCTCCAGAACAACGCAGGACTGCCCTCTCTGGGATTTGGTCCCTTGAAAAGAGAGGCAGAACTAATCATGCCAGAACTTCTTGTGCCTGCAGATGAACGTGACCTTGAAGATTTCCTACTTGACTTTGAGGAAGACCTGAAAGCCCTTCATTCAGTGCAATGTTCACCATCCCCAGGTGAGAAAGGCATCAAAACTTCCTCAACAGCAGTATCCACCACTGATTCTGAGTCCAACAAAAACAATGCAACTATACTTTAAAAGTCAAATCTGTGCCTGCTTTGCGGCTCATCGGTAACCCTCCCCATAGTGGCCTGTCAAATACAAATACTCATTCCCTGGAGTTGTTTTTCACTTGCAAATAGGATCGAGGTGGGAGGACTTTTGATTTAACTTAATCTAAAGTATCAAGTATGTTGTCATATTACAGACATATGTAATTTTTAAAATATTAGCAATTTACCCTGAAATAGTATTTTATAATCTTGCTTTGTGTAATCACTGACTTCTGAAAGTGGCTTAGGTTTTTCTTATAAATTACTGTTTGGTAAAAGCAAGTAATAGTTTGTACAGATAAGAGGGAAGGGAAGGAGAGGGGAGGAGAGGGAAGGAGAAGGGGAGGGGAAGGGAAAGGAAGGTAAAGGGGAAGGGGAAGGGAAGAGAAGAGAAGGGAGAAGGGGAAGGGAAGGGAAAGGGAAGGGAAGGGGAAGGGGAAATGGAAGGGGAAGGGGAGGAAAGAGAAGCTGAATTTACTTAATAATTTGTCCCATTCAAAAGAAACAGGATGAGCCAGTCGAAAAAAGATAGCTAGAAAGAGTTGATATTTTATTTTTAATGAATAGATTGTTTCTTGCTCCCTAACCTCAAATTTCAATCTAAAACTAAGATGAGATTTTCATGAAATTTATGCTCATAATATTATGGAGTATTTCCCTAGGATTATCCTTGTCTGCCTACGGAAACTTATGGAAATATACTGAAAAATTATACAATGAAAAGTCCAGGAGATCTGGCTTTTTACCTGGCTCCAACATAGCTGTATCTTAGGGACTTTAATCAAGTGATTGAAATTCCCCATTCTCATTTCTTCATCAATACACTGGAACATGAGCACCTGCTGTACTCACCCAGCCAGTGCTGCAGAAGATCCAGGGTGACAGCGGCTTGAGAAAGTGGAACAGGCACATGGGCACTGCATGTTATTATTAGGCTGTTTTTGACCACTATATCTTGGCATCCTCAATATAGAGACAAAAGGGTAATTTGGCAAAAGTTGTAAACCCTAATTTGATACTCAATCTTTTCCTTCCTTGGACTTCTAGGCCCCTTCAAACCCTGTGAACACCTGCTTGATGGCTGGCTGATCAGAATTGGAGTGTGGACCATAGCAGTTCTGGCACTTAGTTGTAATGCCTTGGTGACTTCAACAGTTTTCAGATCCCCTCTGTACATTTCCTCCATTAAACTGTTAATTGGGGTCATCGCAGTGGTGAACATGCTCATGGGAGTCTCCAGTGCTGTGTTGGCTGGCGTGGATGCATTCACTTTTGGCAGCTTTGCACGACATGGTGCCTGGTGGGAGAATGGGGTGGGTTGCCAAGTCATTGGGTTTTTGTCCATTTTTGCTTCGGAATCATCTGTTTTCCTGCTTACTCTGGCAGCCCTGGAGCGTGGGATCTCTGTGAAATGTTCTGCAAAATTTGAAACAAAAGCTCCCTTTTCTAGCCTGAAGGTAATCATTTTTCTCTGCGCCCTTCTGGCCTTGACCATGGCTGCAGTTCCCCTGCTGGGTGGCAGTGAGTATGGCGCCTCCCCCCTCTGCCTACCTTTGCCCTTTGGGGAGCCCAGCACCACAGGCTACATGGTCACTCTCATCTTGCTCAATTCCCTCTGCTTCCTCATGATGACCATTGCCTATACCAAGCTCTACTGCAATCTGGACAAGGGAGACCTGGAGAATATTTGGGACTGCTCTATGGTGAAGCACATTGCCCTGTTGCTCTTCACCAACTGCATCCTCTATTGCCCTGTGGCTTTCTTGTCCTTCTCCTCTTTACTAAACCTCACATTTATCAGTCCTGAAGTAATTAAGTTTATTCTTCTAGTGATAGTCCCACTTCCTGCATGTCTCAATCCCCTTCTCTACATCCTCTTCAATCCTCACTTTAAGGAGGATCTGGGGAGCCTGGGAAAGCAAACCTATTTCTGGACAAGATCAAAACACCCAAGCCTGATGTCAGTTAACTCTGATGATGTTGAAAAACAGTCCTGTGACTCAACCCAAGCCTTGGTAACCTTCACCAGCTCCGACATTGCTTACGACCTGCCTCCCAGTTCTGTGCCATCACCAGCTTATCCAGTGACTGAGCACTGCCATCTTTCTTCTGTAGCATTTGTCCCATGTCTTTAATTAACATGTGAAAGAAAATGTTTTCAAAGGTTGAGAACCTAAAAATGTGAGATTGATTATGTCAGAACAGTAACTAAGAAGAGCTGAGGTGAAACTCAGTTTGAAAACCAAAAGAAGAATCTCTCAGTGAGAAAAGGCTGAAAACCTATTGATACTTGAGAGTGAATATAAGTCTAAATGCTGCTTGTGTAATTTGTTCAGCTAAGGGATAGATCGAGCACACTATTTAGGTGAGCCCAGATCAAAAAAGCAGATTGAAATTTTCTTTAGAGAGGATTCTCCGTGATTTTAATTGCATTCTCTTTAAACTCACCAGTGTAATCATTTGGGGGGAGGGAGAACACACTTGCTTTCCAAATAGGTTTATTTAAACTCACAAACTCCTTAAGATGTGGTTGGAGGAATTAGGAAAATAAGTATTTTCAATGAACTACATTACTAGGTAGAGGCTGTGACCCATAGGATTTCATTCTAATGACCACACGAAGATGTTTGAGTCCTCCTTTGCCTTTGCTCAGAAAGGATTCTTCCCAGGCACCAATTTCTTGGATGGATAATGTCCATCCAAGTTAACTCACTCATATTGAGATCATTTTTTAGAGATACCAGGTTTTATATATCAGCACTAGATGGTTCCACCCTCATGGAATAAAATAAATATTTTGAAAGGAAAATGTGATGAAATTCTTAAATTGTTACTAAGGCAATCCATCATGTACAGGTGACATATGTCTTGTCTAATTTGTTTTTAACTCCTTGGTGCCCAAAACTCAGAAGGGAATTCCACTGCTAGCAGTGAACACACCTGGAAAAGATGGTAAGCAACCTGGGATTTTTTTTTTTAATGAGTAAACAATTTTTGCAGAAGGTTTTATCAGTTGATTCAAACCAATGTGCATATTGATCAAATGTGGACATGACATAAATTAAGTCCACTGATAAAGCTTCTTACACATGTATCTCTAAAGATCTAGCAGACCCAATATCTGACACCGCTTTGGACTCAAGAGACTCAGTAACATATTATTCTGTTTATTTACCTTGGTTTTAGCTGTGTTCTCTCTGGATAACCCACTTGATGTCAGCAAGATTAATTCTCTGCTTATTCCATATTAATACTGTGTTAGGTATTTTAAGAAGCAAGTTATTAAATAAGAAAAGTCAAAGTATTAATTATTGCCTTTTATTAATCTATGTTAGCTTCAATACATCCAAACCAAATGGCTGTTAGGTAGATTTATTTTTATATAAGCATGTTTATTTTAATAAGATGTTTTAACTTGGATTTGAAAAAATACATTTATGAGATGTTTTATAAAATGTGTAAATATAGAACTGTATTTATTACTATAGTAAAGATTCAGTAACATTAAGGACCATGATAATGGTAATAAACCCTGTACAGTGGCATATTCTTCCATATATATTGCATTTGTCTGCCTATTTTCTTTAAATTCATTAACTGTATATGTGTAAATATATAGTACTTGTAAATAGATTCCAAATTTGCTTTTCTATTGGGTAAAAAGATAAATTTGTAATAAAATGTGTGACTATAAGACAAAATATTTTCAAGACTATTTATTGAAACCACAGGCAGATACATGGTCTCCTAAATGTTTTTAATTTTTGGAATATAAGTACCTTTGCTAGTTAATTATTAATATTTGCACTTTAAATATATTGGACTTGTCAAAAAATCAGTCTTTCACAAAACAAATCAAAATATCATTACCAAATCCTGAATTGTTTACCTATGATTGATAAGCCATTTTGTCCTGACTTTTGCAAAACTTATTGTCCCCAGTAATAGTTTGGATTTTATAAGCTAGAACTTTTATTGGTCCCAAACTTGTTTTGCAATGTAAGAAAAAAAACTCACATTTATAAATAAATGTACGAATATTTTGAAAACTCATGTCCATGTTAAAGAATAAGGTTGATGATTATGTCAAGGCCAAAACATAAGGACATGCAATTCCAAGGGCACAAAGAAACACACTGTTCCCTTCAGTCCCCGTCCCACAAAACATGAGAAATGAAATGATTTTTCTGGACACCTACTCGCTCCAGTGGTGATTCCTGCTTTCCTTGTATGGATTGCAAAATGAAGCCATCAAGTACTGGTAGGAGGCACAGCATTCTTGTTAAAATTAACACGTTTACAGAGCACCCACAGGGCACCTGGCACTGAGTTTTCCACTTCCCATCAGACTTAACCACATCTCCAGCCCCAGTTAACAGGCATCCCAATGAGATCCTCATGTGCAGTCCATGCTTGGCTTGGCTTGGCGTGGCTTACCTTCAGCTGAAACAAGGGTTCACTCCTCTTACTCTCACAACTTCTAGCCCAGGCAGCTGATATTAAAGTTGTATCCAGAGAAATGCATCTCAGTCTTTCTTTTCAACATACTTGCCCAAAGTCAGGAACAAGTCCTGGCAGCCTCTTTGTCTCCCCTTCAAGAAAACACAAGTCAGTAATGTAATTAAAATTAAAAACAACAAACACTTAAATTCACTCCAACTTATTTCTTTCAATAAATCCACAGGCTTTGCGATTTTATTGGCAAAACACTAATTATAATACACCTTACACAAAACACTGCCATCTGATTGATAAATGTTCTCCACTCTAATGCAGCATCATCAGAAAGAACTTTAATTATATCCACAAATAAATAAATCTACAGTGAGAAGTGGGAAAGATGTACTGTTCAGACAAATTGAACAACAGTAAAGAACCAACCATGGAACAAATTTTTAAAAATCATCAACTAGTGAGCTAGCCTAAAGTAAGGGATTAACAATTTAGTTTCCAAATATAGGTTTATTCATTCAACAAATGTTGTGCACCTATTATGTGCAGCATTCTATGCACTGGGGATAACAAAGCAAGGTCTAGAATTCATATTCCAGTGGAAGGGAGGTAGACAATTAACAGATATAAACATGGAAGTATCTAATAGAAATATAAATGAAGGAAATGAAGCTATTCTAAATAGCCTGTTGGGGAGATTAGTGTGCTGTTTTAGATGTGAAGCTCAGGAAAGGCCTCTCTGGAAAGCCACCTTTTAAGCTGAGACCTTATAGTCACAGTAGAGCTACCTTTGCTTTTGAATTTAACCAGTTACATCAAAAAACGCATTTCTAGTCCCTCTTTTTATATGTCACCTATAACAAACTGTTTTGAATAACATTTTCATAGACAAATATATTAGATGGCTGTTACTGCATATAATTTTTTTCTCAACTGTTACTGATGAGAAAATCATTCTTATATGAAATTTTAAAAATCTACTCATTTAGTTTTGACTAAACATAGAAAAATAAGGTAGTAAAAAGAAATAAAATTAGCAACACCCTGTTCATTTAGAACCAGAAAAACTCTAACATCTGAAAAATTAGTAATGTCCTGCTTCTTTTGTTAATCTTATCATCACATTTAGTTGATGAGAAAGAAGTCCTAGATAAATCGACGGGGTTTGCTGTGACCCTACTAGTTCCATTCATGCTCTTCAGTGCTGGAGATCTGATTTCACAGTTCCACTATGCAGATAAAAGAGACTGACTTCCTATAAGCCTCTAAACACTGACCATTTTCTCTCTCAGGCCACAGAGACCCTTAACCACAATTAGGCTATAGTAGCTTTTCAAGTGAAGTAGGGAGGGGCTGTGTAGCCATATCCCCATTTCAATGTCCTCCTTAGGAACATTTCTAAAGATATTGAACTCAGATTCTGCACTGACTCATTCATCTCACACATAAGTTTCCTGAAGCCTATTGGGTAGGATGATAAAACTTCAGAAACTGGCAGAAAATGCGTGTGATAGGCTGGAGAAGTATTATGGAACACAGATTCAAACTCATTGTAGACATGACTTTCCACTCTAAAGACTGCACTTGATGGGAATGTTGAAAACATGTTACTACATGAGAACAGCGAGTGAAACAATGAGTGAAATAAGGAGATGATATCCTATCAAATAGTAGTCTAAAACAATGATTAATGCATCACCTGGAGAAAAGTAGGCTACAGGAAAACATTTAAAATCTTTGAATAATTGAAATTTACTAAGTGCTAATTTAAGTATTAGAGTATAGTTGGCCAAATATAAAATGATTAAGCCCACTGCCAGACAGACCTGAGTTCAAATCCTACTTCTGTTACTATTTGTGTAATCCTTGGACAAGGTATTTAATTTGTTTTAGCCTCAACTTTCCCCTCAAAAGAATGGGCATCATACCACCAGCCCCATAGGATTAGAAATACTAATAACTTAGCATATATAAAGTTATCATCACACTACCTGCAAAGTATTAAATAGTACATATTTACTAAATGGATCCTGTCTTTTCCCCCGTTTGACAGCCTTATGGAATGAGCAAAGCAGGACTTGTCATTTTGCCAATGAAAATATAGAGTCAGAAGAATAAGTGACTTTTAAGGGCATAGATGAGGAGCTAGGACTAAAACCCAAGTTTCACTTAATAGCACTGAAAAACTGTCATAGAGTAAGTCGACTTACTAAGAAAGGTTCCATCACGTGTGTTGTATACCAAAAAAAACTATCATATTGAGTGAGAAGTTAGATCAAACAGCAGCTAACTTTCCAATGACCAACATTTTGGACAAATGCTTGTTAGTCTTCTCAGAAGGAATGCCAGATTCAGAAGACTGCTGAGGAAGGCAGTGAGACCTTATATCCACATCCTGAAACCAGAGGGTATAATTCTGTGTCACAACTGGGTGGGCATTCGTCAGTCCATTCAGCAGGGTGAAAGATAAAGATGTGAGATTTATGCCCACTTGTTACAGACCTGCTTTGGACCACTAGAAAAGAGCCTTCATTTGTTCAGCTCCTGACTGACTCTGACCTTTGCTCTCCAACTGTTGATGAGTCAATATTACTCTTTAAGGTTCTAGCAGGTTTGATGTCTGTTCTTTCTACTGTCTCTCCCCAGGTAGTGAGAAGTACAGATAAAAGTCAAGTAAGCCAGAGCCACAGCCCCAAATCACAGAAATACCATCATCAAAGAGCAATAGACGGCAAAGTTAAGACATCACACATCAGATTGTCTTGTTAGCTGTTGACAATCCTCAGATGTCTACCTGTCACTCTCTTTGTTGCCTACTTGCCTTCTTCCTTCCTATTGTTTTTTATCCAAGGCTGTAAAGATTAGAATACCGAGGTGAAATATTCCATGACTAAGGTTAATTAGGCTCTTTTGATTGTAAGTCATAATGGAGAGTAAAGAGTTATTGGGAAAACACATGTGGGAATAAGAAAAACAGGAATCTGGCCAGGCGCAATGGCTCATATCTGTAATTCCGGCACTTAGGGAGGCCAAGGCGGGAGGATCACCTGAGGTCTGGAGTTCAAGAGCAGCCTGGCCAACATGGTGGAACTTCATCACTACTAAAAATACAAAAAAATAGCTGGGTGTGGCGGCATATGCCTGTAATTCCACTTACTCAGGAGGCTGAGACAGGAGAATAGCTTGAACCTGGGAGGTGGAGGTTGAGTGAGCTGAGGTGGTGCCACTGCACTCCAGGCTGGTCGACAGAACAAGACTCTGTCTCAAAAACAAACAAATAAATAAATAAATAACAGGAATCTTATGGAAATTCAGGGAACATAAAGCTGGTCCTCAGGATTGTAGCACAGTGTGAAGAGATAGAAGGCTTCTGGGGAGAGGTGGTGGCTCCCAGCACTTTGGGATGCTTTGGTCAGGAGTTCAAGACCAGCCTGGCCAACATGGCGAAACCCCATTTCTACTAAAAATACAAAAATTAGCTGGTTGTGGTGGTGGGTGCCTGTAATTCAGCTACTCAGGAGGCTTATGCAGGAGAATTGCTTGAACCTGGGAGGTGGATGTTGTGTTAGAGGACCCCAACACTTACCCAAAGTTAGCAGTTGGGTTGGGAATTTCCTTGTTATCATCCTTTCTGTGGTCACCAGAAAGATGTTACAGAAAAGGGATCCCAATCCAGACCCCAAGGGAGGGTTCTTAGATCTCGTGCAAGAAAGAATTCAGGACAAGTCCATGGAGTAAAGTGAAAGCAAGTGTATTAAGAAAGTGAAGAAATAAAAGAATGGCTACTCCATAGACAGAGTAGCCCTGAGGGCTGCTGGTTGCCCATTTTTATGGTTATTGCTTGACGATATACTAAACAAGGGATGTATTATCAATGCCTCCCCTTTTTAGACCATATAGGGTAACTTCCTGGCATTGCCATGGTATTTGTAAACTGTCATGGCAATGGTGGGAGTGTAGCAGTGGGAATGACCAGAGGTCACTCTCATTGCCATCTTGATCTTGGTGGGTTTTAGTCGGCTTCTTTACTGCAGGCTGTTTTTATCAGCAAGGCCTTTATGATCTGTATCTTGTGCCAACCTCCCATCTCGTTTGTGACTCACAATGCCTTAACCATCTGGGAATGCAGCCCAATAGGTTCCAGACTCATTTTACCCAGCTCCTATTCAAGATGGAGTTGCGCTGGTTCAAACATTTTTGACAGTTCAAACATCTTTGACTCGGCAGTGAGCCAAGATCACACCACTGCAGTCCATCCTGGGTGAAGGAGTGAGACCTTGTCTCAAAAAAGAGAAGAAGAAGAAATGGAAGGCATCAACCCAGCCTCAGCCCTGGGACAGAGTGTTCTTGTTGTCCTTATGAATTTCTCACCAGTATGATGCCCCAGTTTTTCTTTGTCTTTGCTTCAAACACTTCTGTTGCTTCCAGTTGATCATCTCTATTCTGTAGTTTTTTTTCTTTCTTTTCTTTTGTAGAGATAGGTTTGCCGTGTTGCCCAGTGCATAACTGGTCTCAAACTCCTGGGCTCAAGGGCTCCTCCCGCCTTGGCCTCCCAAAGTGCTAGGATTACAGGTGTGAGCCACTGACACCCCATCCACCCAGCCCAATCGTTCAAATTCTGTAACCTCTCTATGGCGTAACTTTATTTGCTGGTGCTTATTTGTTACTTCAGCCCGTTTCCCCAACACTTTCCCTACAAGGTTTTCCCTGAAGGCATGCACTTACTTCTAATTGCCTTGCAAGGGAAAGAATCTGGTTGCTTATTGCTTGTCCCTGTGGGACAGAGCCCTGGGGGCTGGGCCATCTGGGGGTTCGGTAGAAGTCACTCCTCAGATTATAGGTACGTGAAGCAGGAGGTCAGGGTCACATGGTAAAATTCTGATTAGCTAAACTTTCACTTTTCTCTGCAGTAGACCATGGGTAAGGATCTTTGGAAGCTTCTGAGGGCAGCAGGCTCTTTACTGGCTTGTTCTGTACATATGACTCACTACAGACAGAATGTTTTATGTCCCCTGCCCCAAATTTACATGTTGAAACCTTAATTCCCAGTGCAATGGTATTTAAAGATGGGGTTTTGGGGGGAAATTAGGTTATAAGGATGGAACCCTCAGGAATGGGATTAGTTCCCTTATAAAAAGGGACTCCAGAGAGAGCCTTCACCCCTCTACCATGTGAGCACACATCTAAAAGATGGTGTCTATGAATGAAGAAGTAAGCCTCCACTGGACAGTAAATCTGCTGGCTCCTGAAACTTGGACTTCCAAACCTCTAAAACTGTGAGAAATAAATTTCTGTTGTTTATAAGCTGTCCAATTGACACCTTTCTGTAATAGCAGCCCAAAGGGACCAAAGCAGACTAATTTTGATTTTCCTTATTAAGGGAGACAGATTAGGGGTAGTAATCCAGCACATGTCCCCACAAATTTGCAATTGCTTCCCAGCCACAACACCTAACACATCCTCTTGGAATTCGCCCAAGCCAGAGCAAAAAACCGTTTTTCCCAAGGATTTAAAATTAGGGACACTCAGAGATACTAACTCAGTCAGATCATGAGGGGAAGGTGCTTGAACTGAAAGATCAAATAGAATTTTGTCTGCCATTGACACCATGAGAAGCCAAAATTATGTGTAAATTTAAGTTTTGAGAAGCAGAAAAGGCCACTATTCTGAGAAAAGCAAAAGACTAAGGTAGCAAGAAAAAGAAGAGGCCAAGCAGCTCCATGAATGATAGTTTCTAGAAAGTTCCATTCCCTCAGTGGCTTGGTCATGTTTTTTGCCCTTTTTTTTTTTTCAGATGG